CGCGTGCCAAAATGGAAAACGGTTGACATTGGGAAGCGAATCGAGTTATTTTTAATCGGCAGTTAAGGCATTAAATATAAAATGTATAAATTATAAAGTTAAATGTTAATTTTTGCATATATTTTTTTTTATATGTGACAATCTCATTTGGTCACTGGTAATTATTAAACTTGTTTTTAACTTTGTGTTGTTAAATTAATCATAAAATACATTGTGTAGCACTGATACATTTATAAGTGTATTTTATTTTTTATTAAGTCAAAATGTATTTTGTTTGTTTACTTTCAGTAAATTAATAATTTTAAAAAATAATCTTTTGTTTTTGACTTTTTAATATGCTCACCCCCCCCCTCATAGAGTTATCACGGCCCCCAAGGGGGGCGTGCCCCACAGTTTTAGAAATGCTGTGTTAACCTATTTCTTATTTAAGAGTGGTTTTTTTTAAAAAAAGTATTTATAAATTAGCTTACGCATTATAAAGTTTTTACCATTTAAAAGGATATAGCTTTAATAAATAAACTAAAATACGGCTTACGTAACTACTGGATATATTTTTTAACTTCATTTTATAAAATTAAGAACATATTATAACATGAAATTCGTCTACCATTCCTAAGATAAGGTTTTTTGGTTTACATTTCAGACTTACATATCGTTCATAATTAAGTAATAAGTTATTTCAAATAATATAAAAGCTGTTTTTAAGAGAAGAAAAAAGCAACAAAATTAGCTTAAAAAAACAGCTTTTATAACACCTACATTGGTAATCCATTTTAAAAAATCCACAATTTAAACTAGACATAAATATTTATATTCTCAAAATACTTTAATTGAGAAAAACAAACATTTTATTGATTTTATAGAAGAGAAGTTCGTAATGCTTCTCCTTCAGGTGTAAAAAATATAATTGTATTGAGGATATATAACAGTAATTATCCATATAAACATTAAAAACTAAAAAAAAAGACGTGTTTCTAGTTAAAATCTAATCAACAGTTCCTCAGCTAGTCAAAAAAGAGAAAAATATATTAAAATAAGTGTACATGTTCTCATGAAGTTAATTAAAATGTCCTGTTCTCCAACGTTTTTGAAATATAATTTCAATAACGTAAAAATTAGAGTATTTTTATATATTTTCTCCAGTCACATTCTTCATACTGAATAGCCATAAACTAATTGAAAAACGCATATTTGGAATATTTTAACTAGAAAAGTAGAACATCCTTTTTAATTAAGTTATATAATAATTTAATTAAACGACCAGTCTTTGAAAACGTATAAACAAATTTTCAATTTAATATAATATTAATTTTTCAAAGATACTTTTGTTCCTTTTATAAACGAGTTTTGATGAATTATTTCTTATTTTTGTTGTTGTTAATTTAAAAAATTGTAATTAATATTTAACAATAAAAATAAATTAGCATTAAAAATGCATTTTAATTAATAGTTAATAATAAATATAATTTAAAATAAAAAGCTATTTTACTTAATAGATAACAATAAATATAATTTAAAGCATTTACTCATATTTACTCATATTTCATACATAAATACTAATTTGAAATATTTAAAGATTTCTAATTTAAATAAGAAATTACACATGAAGTTTGAAAAGAAATATATTATACACGTTTATTTTATACAGTATTATAATGAGAATATAATCTCGTACTTTATATATTTGTCTATAAATTTCCACATCAATAAATTAAATTTGTAGAAAAATAATAATCGTTTGTAAATATCTATCTCTAGAACGTTATTATCTCATTTTTATTTCAATTATTCTAGATAACAAAACACAATTATTTTGAAGAACTAAAAGAGATGTCTGTGATATTGGTTCAAAACAGCACATGATTCTAAATTATTAAATCTAAATATTCAAACTAAATAAAATCTTATATAACTCTATCCAAAATGTTGAGTAGCCCTTTATTAATGAAGATTTCCACAAATGAAGAATCAGTTTTTAAACGGAAGAGTTCGAGAAATTATTTTCTTAAGTGAAACAGACATAAAACTGCGTTTGTGTGTTCAAGATACAGACAGTTATTAGCTGCGTCTCACTTATGAAGAAAGAAATCTACATGGATCTACAAAAACTGATTACTACATTGAGCATTTTCGACTAAAATAACTCTAATTCAGTAACATTAAAACTACCCTCAAAATTCTTTTGTGTTACATTACATATATGTAGAAAGCAACTAAAAGAGAAATACGAGCTATATTTACAAAATATAGAGAGAATTATGTTTTATATCAGTAATGAATTATTCGTGTAAGTCAGTGCTTCTCAAACTTTCCGTATTTGCGACCCAAATGTATATCATAATTCCCATACAATAACAATGTATTGAAAGCAACAATAACGCACTTTGACTGAAGCTACTCTACGACATTGATTAAAAACCACGTAAGATAAGTAAACTATATAAGATATAAGTATTAAATTTTGCATAAGTTACTTTTAAGTTAAAGAAGCAATAAGTTACTTTAAAGTAATATGATCAGTTTATGTTACTTTTCTTTTCAATTTTTGAATTGGAACAGGTTGCAAAACAATTTTTGGTTAAATTAAACATTTATTTTTTGAGTCAAGTGTACAAATGTCGTTAGAAAAATAGTCTTGTCTCTTTTCACTCTATTTTATAGTCATCGCATCTAGAATTTTTGTGGGCATCTGTGCAACCATCCAGGCAACTTATCAGATTTAGAATGTCAATTTCTAATATTAAATCTTCCTTTGAAAAAATTCGTCCTGCAATACTATAGTCCACGGGAGTCACTATTAATTAGTAAACTTGTTCTAAATTTAGTATTAATAAATTAATTATCAATTACACTAGGCAGTACTGATACATTTATAATTATTTTATATCAGTGTAAATGAATATTTAAATTTTTATTATGTCAGAATGTATTTTGTTTTGCTTCCTTTCAGTAGTAAATCAATAATTATTTTAAATATCTTTTTTTTTTATTTTCGACTTTTTAATATGCTCGCCCATTTCCACGTAGAATTATCACGCACCCCTAGTGACGCACCCTACAGTTTGAGAAACGATGATGTTAGTGCATGATTCTGCATGGTTCAATAATTTTCATCAAACATGATGAGTTATTTGATAAAAGAATTGAGTGTATCATAATCGAAATCTGGGCAATTTGTTTTTGCTCACACGCAATGTGGGTTGATTGATTGATTGAATATTAACGTCACACTGTGCAGCTACACGAGGGCTTTTGGCGACGAACCACGTAATTTTGAACCATGGTCAAGTGACGTGGACGACACCTGAGCTGGCACCCCCTCTCCTAACTACCACACCAACGGGAGGATTAAAAAGAACGCCCGAATAGGGACTCGAACCCTCGACCGTTAGGTTAAAAGCCTAACGCTCTACTGACTGAGCTATCCGGGCTCCACACAATGTGGGAACGGAGGATAACGGTGAGTCACTTCTTTTAACCCGCGGTCACTCGCGCCTGTTTTTGCTACCGTCGTTACTCGCGGGGTGTAGAGAACACCCCAAACTTTTAACACGTGTATTTATTTATGAAAGTAAAATTAAGTCATTATGATACATATTTATAAAGTACAAGATGTTTCTTTGTATTATACAAATAAAATTATTAAATTTATTGCATACAAATGAGACTAACACATTCATTTAAACTAAACATACAAAATTTTCATTTTAAATCACATAATTTCATATTTTTTCATAAACCAGTATAAAACGCATATACCAGTAAAAAATATACTTTATACTTAATGATATAATGATTGTAGAAAGTAGAAAAGTAATATTTTAATCATTTTCCAAACATTCAGAGCAGACTGTATACATATGCTCAACTTCTCGCTGGAGTTCTCAGCCCCAGATAAACTTTTGAAAATCATTATATTCCAATAGTTCGAGAAAGAAGGATTGCATCAGGCCTGAAGGTCCAATGACCTAAAATGTGCAGCTACAGAAAAAAATTGTGGTTCTGCGCATTCTTTTTAGAATCCTGGGAGGATTTTCTTGTTGCTGGGGTGTACAGAACACCCCGCGCGAGGGATCGCGGGTTAAAAATAATTGCATTCATAATAAAAAATAATAAACATAAGTAAAATAAAATGGTGGCAATTTTATCCAATTTATTTATTGTGCTAATTTCTTATTGTCGGTAGCTGCAAGAACATTTAATTTTCGAATTAGTTTAATAAACCGAATGTACCTTATCAAGTTTTTCTACATTTTTTTTTTTTTAAATCAGGAGTGAGATTGCTTGTTTAAATTCTCATGACAGCTCTCAAGTTTGTCTTCGTTTTGCACTTGCATCTGTATTTAATGCTGTTGGTCTTTGTACAAGAAAAAACTTTGCTCAGAAATATATATCAACTAAAATACAAAGAGCAATTCCCCAGGAAATTTCTTCATACATGAAAATATTTCAGCTGACAAAGAATTGTGAAAATCAATTAATGCCAGAGCATTAAATATTTTCTTAACACTGTGATCTGGCTTCAACTCAATAAGTTCAAGCTATAGCTTCTCATTTGCTATATCAATATAAGAAGTAATGGGATAAAAGAGCAAATTGAATTTAGGCGCAATTTTTTTAAAATACTGAAATTTTCTTGTGACCTCGTCCTTTAAACTCTGTAGATTATCTCTTAGTAAAAACACTTTCATGTTTTTTGTTTTCCTAATAGTAAAAATAAAAGACTGATCTTTAAACAAGCACTAGAAAGAAATCTCCGTTCAAAGCGGATTTTCAGACTGTATTCGAAAGGCCGCTATAGTTGCTCACCCGTCTTTATCAATACAATAAAACTATATTTTAAAATACAGTATCACAATTTTTTAAAAATGTATTTTTCACACTGACATACAACAATAACTAGAAACTCTTTTAATTCAGCAAATAAGTCATACCAACTTTATTTGAGGTTAAAATTGAAGTTATTGTATGTAAACAATACACTTAAAATTTATATTATGGAGCAGCTGTATATCAAAATTGTACCTCAATACATCATGCACAATAAAATTTTAAAATTTAAAAATATGAGAATTGATTTTAAAATTTCTGAAAATGAATCCAGCTTCTGAGTGAAATACCTGGTTTCTGATGGGGAAAAAATATCAAGACTCTCATTTTCTCCTTAAATCATTATGATTCGTTATCACGATACTGATTAAACAATAATTATCTCGACTTCAAACTCCTTAGATTGCAACAATTAGCGTCCATTGTGTTCTACAATAATAAAATGCAAAACATGATTTTACCATTTAAGATTTTGGGGAATTAAAATTTTATGACAATAAGTAATTACTATCGAATTCTTAAAACTAATTTTTTAACCCGCGGTCACTCGCGCCTGTTTTTGCTACCGTCGTTACTCGCGGGGTGTAGAGAACACCCCAAAATTTTAACACGTGTATTTAATTATGAAAATAAAATTAAGTCATTATGATACATATTTATAAAGTACAAGATGTTTTTTGTATTATACAAATAAAATTATTAAATTTATTGCATACAAATGAGACTAACATTAATTTAAACTAAACATACAAAATTTTCATTTTAAAACGCATAATTTCATATTTTTTCATAAACCAGTATAAAGCGCATATACCAGTAATAAATATACTTTATACTTAATGATATAATGATTGTAGAAAGTAGCAAAGTAATATTTTAATCATTTTCCAAACATTCAGAGCAGACTGTATACATATGCTCAACTTCTCGCGGGAGTTCTCAGCCCCACAGATAAACTTCTGAAAGTCATTATTTTCCAATAGTTCGAGAAAGAAGGATTGAATCAGGGCTGAAGGTTCAATGACCTAAAATGTACAGCTACAGAAAAAATTGTGGTTCTGCGCATTCTTTTTAGAATCCTGGGAGGATTTTCTTGTTACTGGGGTGTACAGAACACCCCGCGCGAGTGATCGCGGGTTAAGAAAAGTAACGATTCTTAATCTATTGTTGTCATTTCACCCCCTTAATAGAAATAGTTCTACCATATCTTACATAAAGCTACCAATAAATATCTCACAGTTGCTAATCATAAACAGAAGAAAAAGGTTTTTCTGGAAACATTTAAATGGATTTTTAAAATTACATATTATTTACCCATTAATCTAGTTTTTAAGTATTTCGCAAGGATTCAAAGCAAGGCTACTTGATTTATGATTAAACATAATTTTTGCATGTACAACACATTTACATTAATTAGAATAATGAAGATAATTTGGTGTTTACAATAATAATATATTTTAATATGTACATATAGTATATATTAAATATTTTTACCTCTATTATACAAAGTAGTACTACATACTGCCATAAACGTAAATGGTAGAAATAACTGAAAAAATACGAATTTCCGCAGTTAGGTTTTCCAGATATTTTGCCTTTTTTGTAAAATATGAGGAAATAAAAGTGGAAATTTTCAACGAAGAAATAACTAGCATTTATAAGATAAGGAATCAATAGTTCGAAACAAGTCACGTTCCAAGTTTCAACGTGGTTGTTGCGTCTATAGTGTCCTTATAAATGGTTTACCATCCAGTACTGGACATTAGTTTCTGGTCCATTGTTCGAGATTCTTTTCTCTCTTCCATTCATTGCTCTGGCAATAGATAAAAATAGATCCCCAGCAGAGATGAAAATAATAGTTGAGTAATGAGGCTTCTATCTACATCTATTTCATGAATGTCTGCCTTTATACAACACCCTGTCCATCCACACACATATATATCCCGCGATCCCTCGCGCGGGGTGTTCTGTACACCCCAGCAACAAGAAAAACCTCCTACAATTCTAAAAATAATGCGCAGAGCCACGATTTTTCTGTAGCTGCCCATTTTAGGTCATTGAACCTTCAGACCTGATGTAATCAATCTCGCTAGAACGATTGGAATGTAACGACCTTCAAAAGTTTATTTGGGGTGCTGAGAATACCTCGCGAGTGATTGAGTTATATTTTCGTAGAAGCATCTACGGAAAAGTACGTTTTACTCTTTCCGCTTACATTTTTTTTTCAAATATATTAATATTCATGAATATTTTATTTAAAATTTCAATAAATGTGGTATAAAAATAATATAATTCTATAAAATAATTGTAAAATACAATTTTTTTTAAAAAAATTTCAAAACATTTTCTAGAAATTATGACAAAAACTCCATGGGGAAGGGAGAAATAGCGACTTTGTCGTCTATTAGATACTGTATCAACAGATTGAAAAAATGAACTAAGTGAATTCGATGACTGCGTGATTTCGTAACCAAAGTTGGAGAGATGAAACTGGAAATCGTAAATTTTTATAATACAGGTGGGGTTGATTCCACTGATGAAATGTGCAGTATATATATTATGTATCGCGAATATGTAACCTTTGGCCATTGCGAATATTTTATCATCTATTTAATACGGCAAGAATTAATGCTTCCTTTGTCTATCATTCGGTTCTTCCTTAAAGTAAATGAAACATTCAATATTATTAGAGGAGATTAGAATGGATCTTGTGCAGCCACTGTGGGATATGAGATGGGATTTCCCAAACATTAACAAAACACTCAAAAGAAGCTTTACTGACACAGAATATATTAAAAAGAGCATTAATCCCCCTAAAAAAGGGGTTTTGCACTGCTTGTCCACGGGTAAAAGATGTAAAAATTATTTGTTTTTGTCTTCAATGTAAGAAAAATATGTGCTTAAAGCATATGAATACAGTCTGCTCTGAACGTTTGAAAAATGATTTAAATATTATTTTTCTACTTTTTATTATAAAATCATTAATTATAAAATATAATTATTACTGGTAATACGTTTTACTTGTGGTTTATGAAAAAATATAAAATTGTGTACTTTAAAATGAAAATTTTGTAGGTTTAGTGTAAATTAATGCTAGTCTCATTTAAATGCAATAAATTTAACAATTTTGTTTGTATAATACAAAAAACCTCTTATACTTCATAAATATATATCATAATTGACTTAAAAAAATTTTCTCATTTAAATACACATGTTAAGAGTTTGGGGTGTTCTCTACACCCCGCGAGTAACGACGGTAGAAAAACAGGAGCGAGTGACCGCGGGATATGTATAATATATTAAAATTTAGGGAATAAGCCATTTTCTAAGGAAGAAAATTTTTCAAATGTAAATAACACACAAATTAAGGACTACAATTTTCGTATTTCTCCCAAGTCATAAACAGAGTGTCTGAAAAGTATGACTACACTTTCACAAAAATTAATTTAAAATAAACAAAGATTTTCACTTACGGTTTCTTGTGTTCCATGAAGAAAATATTAAATTTATTTCTTTAATGCGGTACAAAATAGATGGCGAAATATATCCACTTTCTATATTAACGTTCCAAATTGGCTTCACCAAAGGAACAAGAGCAGGT